CAAAAATTTATTGGCAAATCCCTAAAAACTTGTTAGCTTGAATTTTGTTGTGACGATGTTACCTCGCTCTGATGATGTCCGTCATATAAAGGACGAAACCTTAGCACGTTTTCACCGGAATCAAAGGAGATTGCCTCGGAAACAGAGTTAGCATAAATTTTCCAGTAAAGCCAATCGACAGCTGGTCAAGAGGAATCCGCCATCGTCTTCTGGTGGAACCGACCTTCGATCAACACTTCCATTCGAAATGGAAGTAAGCTTAACAATTATGAAGCAAGAGCTTCCTCGAAACCCAACTTTTCTTCGTATATACTTGGATGTTGTTAATGAGTATGCTCTTTGATATCTCTCGTGGTCAGGCATATCATCACTCACCTCTCATTAAGGTATAAACATGAAAAATGTTTACTCACGCAGACTAGTTGCCTATATGTGGCCCAGTTATACATATAGCCTTTAATTTCTTATCCCAAAGATGTACCCCCTGGTTACATTTTTTGGGTGATTCACGCTTTTATTCCTTTTAATGTATTCGCCTTATCTTGACTTCCCTTTGTCCTTCATGATCTCCTCCTTAGCGATTTCTCTTCCTGTTGTTGAATATTTGTCCAGAATCACAGCGTCTTTTTGGTACCTTCATTGAATCCCTAAGTCTGCCTCTCTCAATCTCCTGTTCGTCAGGATTCTTTGAAGGAGTATGTCCACAGCCTCCCTGACTTTCTTTTTTGGTATTCTTCTAATATTGGGCTACTTTTTCCGTTGCGCTCTAGCCAATTCTGTTGCAATATCTCCGATATTTCCCTTATCTTCTTTTATTCTTGTGCTGATTCTCATTTGTGTCTTTCTGATGTATTTCCTGATAGTACAAAAGATGATGGATAATGTGTAGATAAGTATCTCAGACTTATTCGGAAAAGGCACCCGAAGAGACTGAATAAATATGAAATATCTAGGCAGTCTGCGATCCTACCACCCGGCAAAAATGGCGATGACTCTAAAATGACGGATCTCACAGTTTATACGAGAGATAAAGATAAAGTTGTGATTCTTTCTTCTGTTACTTAAAACCTCGAAACCACCGACATCCGCCAATATCGGACTAAATTTGCACTTTGGATTGAAAGGAAGGCAATTAATATCTACTGCGGGAGTCGAAATAATACAATGCAGCATGTAATTTCGACACGTTACTCACTACGCCATATTACCACTACTGATCTTAGGCCACAGGATCTATGTGAATTTTAAGAAAGGCAGGTAATTTTTCCATATCACATTCTTTAATTGGATATTCGATGAAGCAAAGTTATATTTGTTGTGAACTTTTATGCAAACAAAGCTATGTAAGATTCAATGGAAATGTCAACTCTACTCATAATATTAAAGGAACATTTAACTACCAGTCCTTCATCAATACTGCATCCCATATGCGTGATTTTGCTGTTTAGCAGTGACTAATTGACAAGTTGAGTAGAAGAAGGGGTGATTAATGATGTTCAGGTGAATATGTGTGTTTGTGTGAATATGCAAATATTCAATATGAAGTGTCTTAAGACAAAGATATGTAGCGCTATAAGGTAGTACAGAATATTTATCAACGTGTTTACCTTCTTTGTCACTATTACGTTTTAACTGTGCTGACGATTATACCTCTCATTGTCGATGCCGGTGTAACGTTTGGGAATGTACTATTTCAATGGTCCGATGCTGGAAATCACGAATACTATGACAGAGGGCACATGAATAGGTTCGTTACACAACGTGTCTAACGCTCGAACTAAGTTGCGAAAGCGAGGTCGACCCAACGCTATAAGACCTTGTCATTTTGGACTTCTTATCTATTATCTAACTTTTGCCTTCGTAAATTATGTAATTTGATATAAATTGTTTACTTTGAATGATCTTTATCTTCAGTCCTTAAATTTGTTTTATGCAAATTTTCTTCCTGATATCTTTTATATAAGCGGCTTTAAAGCGGAAGTATTCCCGGATCTTTTTATCCAATGTGTCTAGCGACTTTTCACTTAGTATCTGAAATTACTCACTTTTAAACCTTTCTTTCTTCATTTAACAGATGCAGCAGCAGGCTGATCGATTGGCCAAACTAAATGCAGAACTCAGGCGAAAGCATTGCATAAATCGGCGGCAAGCAGATAAACTACTTGAGGACAAAACTGATCTTGAACTGCAGCTACAAGCCAAAGAGCAATTGGTGCGACAGATGCGTGATCACATCGTATTTAATGCCACCTCTGGTCTAAACAACGTAGAGCCTCCACAAGAAATTGAGAAAACTATACATTTTAATGCTGACAAACAGCCTCACATATCTGGTTCCTTTGCGCTTGATGAGGGAGATGAAACAGGACTAGGTATTTCGATTTCACCGTCCATGAGCACATCAATAACAACGGATATTACTTCGCCAGCTAATCATGTGAATAATATTGGTTGGGGCTTAAATATTTGATCTATACGAATAATTTCCCTGTTGTTTTGACTGCAATTGTGCTAAGGCGCCTCTACTGACAGCTGTCCTGCATGTTTATCACACAGATAAACAGTTTTCAATATTATTAATTTAACTATTCTAGGTCGACTAATTTATTTTGGGACTACTATTTAAAGCTTACAACACATTTAAATTAGTAGTACTCATAATTACTCTAAATTTTACTTAGCATCGCCTTTCAAGAAGCTATATCATCCAGGTTTTACTTTAGTATCTTCATTGATTCAGCACCAACAGAATTGGAGCCGGATCGTATTATAGTCATTTTTCAATTCACTACATATCGACGGATGGCAGTAGGTGACAGGCTAAATTTAATATTCAAGGCAAACCATGTCTCTCAACTAGCATTTATAGTATGAGTGTCATTGAAGCAAATACACTGAAAAATTACTGATAGTCTCGAGTATACTCTGTTATTCTAGGATAAAGCTATAATTTTTTGCTGTAAGATACAAATCCTTAAAGCAGTTTCTTCTTTATGCGTCACCTTTACTCATCTGCAAGCATCTAAGGTAAGCATGAAGTGGGTGTAAAAAGTAACTTGGTTTCGATTAATCTTGCGAGAGAATATTGTTCAGATGATCACTATTTCGTATGAAAGTGCATGAAAAAGAAATTCCAAGATCTAACTAGAAGAAGACGGCGGACTTCCGTTTTAACAAACCTGTTAGGTTGACGTAGTCCAAAAGAAAGCCTCGTTTATGGTGAAAATTGCTGGACTTGCGTCCATTATATGATGGCGATTATCAGAGCTGGAACTCATTCGTGTAAAATGTTTGAATATTAGGGATAATGGAAGTAAATCGTAGATCAGTAGACCAAGATGGTGTGTCCCTGTACTTGGTCGCACTACCACTAGAACTCAACTTATGTGGGTATTAATTGTTAGATGATAGACGACCTTGAAATTAGGCCAGGCTGTGTCCCATATCCCAATTTTTAGATTGGTATTCTATGTGCCGCAAGCATTATTTATCATTACAGTTGTGGAAGAAGCTTGGTCTGCATTGAAAGTGGTCTGAGTGGCACATCTATCAGTGTGTTGTAGGGTTAGCGTCAAAGTAATGCAATAGGCTACCAGTATTTTATTCCATTTGGGGATGTTGTCGCGAAACCGAACTGAAGTCCACCCTAGATGAGGATACCTTTAGGGTGAAAAGACCAAGTAAAACTCAATAACATCGAAAGGTATACTTATATCATTGTAGAAAAATTCAATTAGTACTCTGTAGACACATTGTGCGACCTAGGGTGGGCATGTTTAGCTTTATAGTTATTTTGCTACTTGATCGGACCTTAAAGGAGACTATGTGGCACGTA